ATGTTTGTCTGGAAAGTAATCAGTAACTGTAACATGAATGTAGTGGAGTAAAAAGTACTTCTGAACTGTGTTTCTGTAACTGAGTACATACATTGTTTATTTTACTTCAAATTAAAATGAGTTCCCTGTCAAACAGCTACAGCAGCTTTAATTACAGGAAACTAAAGAGTATTTGCAGGGTGAGAATGTAACTGATTACATTTACTCAAGTAGTGAATTCTTGTTGATTTAACGACCAAAATGTGCATAAAGTAATTCAAATGAACAGTAAAATGCTGCTAACATGCTCAGTGTATTTGTAAGGAATGTAACATTTAGTTTGATGAACATAACAGGGAACATTTTATTAAATATTATTACTCCATTACATATATCTGACAGCTATAATCAGGATGTCGCAGCATTTTTTTGGGAGAAAGTAAACTTTGCAAAAAATAAAAGTTGCGATCTATCATCATCTTTCTGTCTAATTGAAGGAAAGCGGTTCCAGTGAGCGTAACGTCGCTGTTTGGAGGGTAAATATGAAACGTTTGCGTCGCTCACGTCTGCAACCTACACAACTAGAAAAACAAGGAGTGAGTTTGATGATGTCTTACTTCACAGAAACGAGGCTTTTTAACTTTGTTCAGATTCCTTTATTGCAGTGTAGGTACGTTTATATCAGTTTATAATCCCCTGGAATCAGAATCATTGTGTACAAACCAAACTCTGGCTCTAAAGGCCACCGTAGTTTCTCCTTCACACCTGAAACTGCAGCTTCCCCGCTAGATGCCACTAAAACCTACACTGCACCTTTAAATGGCCTCTTTTCCCTGTAATGTGAGTCCTTTAATACTTGTATCAGTGAGACTGATGTGAGCTGATGGAAGCGTCTCATCCTTGTGTTTCACTCATCCTCTGAATGAGCGACCACTTCAGGGACAGCGGGCCCTCAGCTGTGGTCAAAGGCTCCTGTCACACACATGGACCTCCTGTCAATAACAACAAAGATCTACTGGCTACTTCAGAGCGCTTTGCCACACACACACACACACACACACACACACACACACACACACACACACACACACACACACACACTGGGCTTTGATGCTGCTCGGTGCAGAGGGGCAGGCGGGGGGGCTCCATTGACTTTGGCCCTGGCTCTTGAACTGGTTTGTGAAAGGTCTCCGACTGGTACTCGACCTTTCCTGTTTCTCTGTGAGTGTGTTTGAAGGAGCGTGGGGGGGGGGTGGGGGTGGGGGGGCATTTGAGTGCCGCTGGGTGGTCGCAGTAAAGCGAGGCGCCTCAGATGGCACGGCGGCACCTGTGCACATAAAAGCGTGCGAGCTCAGAGACAACAAACAATGCAGTCTGTTTACTGAACCAGATAAACATCAACCACAGAGTTCACCGTTCACCGGCCTGCGTCTGTGCCCCCCAGCAGCAACAGGTTCAAAATAGGAATCAGACGTTTCAAAGATCAGCAGCTCGTTTTAACAACGAGTCTTTGTGTGGGTGCTGCTGAAATCCTCTTACGTTTACAGGACGGGTCCTTTATGGGAAAGAAAGAGGGCATAGACGGTGTAATCCCATTAGGACGTCACCACAGCCTTCATACCTCAACCTTGAAGCTATACGCCATGTGTCCTTTAATTTCACTGGTTTCTAAGTCTTACGTTTGTGTATTAACCTGCAGAGAAAGTACGAGTGTGCAGCCTTCTTAAGTTATATTCAAACTTCTTGATGAAGAGAACAAAAACAATCCTTATACTTCATTAAAATCAACTAAGAGAATCCGTCCGGTTTCACTTTTTCACCCTCGTTTAGTCGAGATATCCACAATGGAAGTCCTGGCTGGTGCAGTTGTCCACATACAGAGGAGGGAACTTTAGTTAAACTGTAGGAATCATCTGGCAGCGTGTGCAGGTAGATTCAACATAAAACAGAACTTTATTCATCCTGAAAGAGTGAAAATATATTAATACACACTGTTATTGTTCCCTCTGTCTGTGTGTTATAGATTCAGTGTTAGGCTGACTGATATAAGGAGCAGATAATGATTCACCAACTGTTTCTCTGAACCCAGAGTTCAGTCTGACAGGCACCAAACAACCTATAACCAGAAACGTGATATCTGTTCATTGAATCAGAGACAATGCTCGAAGAGAAGTTTCATTGTTAATAAATGAAACCAATGTCTGGTCCATGTAGAGTGAACAACACATGAGGGGGAAATAAACCTGATATAAGAATACAAATCTTTAACTTTTCATTTAAATATCATTTAAACTATTAACATTATTAACAGTATGTTACAGTTGTAATAAAAATAATAATGGATAAAAATGGCTACCTTTCCTCGGCAGTGTGTGTGAATGTGTGATGTCAAACCTTAGAGGCTACTCTTCCCCTAAAATCCTGTTTTTTTTATTTTTTCAGTTTTATACACAATTGTATTCTGTTAGCTAGACAAAGAAACGAGTCCAGTAAGCATTGTGAATGAAGGACTGGGCTGAGACTGAGAGGTGGACATGAGGGATATTTCAATGGTCCTCTGCCATAGTGACTAAACATCTAAACATTTGGACTTGCAGTGCTCACACAATGCCAAAGGGACGATGCATTCTGGAGGCACTGAATATTTCTATGAGAAAGGAATTCAGTTTTGAAGCATGAGTGAACCGTTTTGGGAGAGATATGGTGAACTGTGGTGTCGTGCTGAACTGTAAGACTGTTTTGCCAAATGATCTTAGAGTTTTGAGAATGTAATTTCTGTTTCGAGAAATGAGCCAAACCAAAACTGTAAATTAATAACATAAATGTGCAATGACTTGTCGACTGTTAGCTTTTATCTTTAACAACCATTTATCTTTAGTCAGGCAGCAACGATTGGTTGAATTTATGTTCATTGTTGCGATCGCAAACTATAAAAATGATTTGGTTGAAGTTTAGTTTAGTGTTTGTAACCATGTCTATAGAAGACAGACAGACAGACAGACAGACAGACAGACAGATAGATAGATAGATAGATAGATAGATAGATAGATAGATAGATAGATAGATAGATAGATAGATAGATAGATAGATAAATAGGCCTTTATACAAGTTTAGGCTTTGTGTCAGATTGAATACAAGTTCCCACCTCTTCATTTAATCCTGTGATCTATAAATCTGTGTCCACCACAGACCAGCATTGTTAATATTATTAATATTATTAATATAATTATTGTTATTAATGTTTTATGATGCTAATAAAGGTCTGTTTACTTCAGGCACATTGTAAATAAAGCAGTAAAATGTGACTTTATTTCAGATATTGGAGGTTTTAATAAAGTAATCTTAAATCAAAGTGACGGTAATCAGTGTAATAATAATAATAATAATAATAATAATAATATATTTATATATTCTGTAGCTCATATTCAGTTCACTGCAGCGGTTGAACATTGAGAGCAGCCGTGTTTTGAAGTGTTTTTCTCTGTTTGCAGCAGCTCCACCTGTGAAGCTTCAAAATGAAAAATAAAACCGCCCAGAGGCAGGAAGTGTGGTTACATCGTCGTAACTTAGACACCGGAAGCTTTACCCCCCACTCCAACCTGCCCCCCCCTGCAGGAGCCCTGCATTATACAACGGGTTCACAACTGCAGGGGAGGGCTGCAGCGCTGCACATCTTACAGGCTTAAAGAAGGCGTGTGTGTGGGTGTGAGAGAGAATCTCAATATGAGGATCAATCAGTCTGCATGGTTTAATACAGATAACGACAGATTTAATGGGATTAAACTAGATTTTATATAATAAATAAATATATAAAACAAAAGTGAAGCCAAACTATTAAACAGTTGCTTCACGTTATAATCAAACAGGATTTAATGGCGTTCAGCTCGAGCTGCAGCTGAGTTCTACTTTTATACCACATGTTTAATCTGTAAAATGATTTGGTTGTAAGGATGTGGGACATTACCTCAGAAAAACGAAAATAAATAAACTAAATAAAGTTTACTGCTCCGCAACAGCACACAGACACTGTTTAACTGGAAGGGAAAAACAGCAGCAACTGTTATTTTCTGCAGTTTTCTTTGATTTCTGAGATATTGACCTGAATATTTTGAGGTTTTGAACTGTTGCTCAAATAAAAAAGGTTATTTAATGTCAATTTGGGCTTTTTGAAGTTTTGTTGGGCTTCTATATCAATTATTTTTACCCGTTTATTGAAATGTTTTAGACCGAAGGATTAAACACTGATCTGATGGTTGTACCACTCTCTCCTTTTAGTGCCTAATTTATAAAGAAATCTTCTATTAATAGTTCAACTTACTCTGAAAAGGTCCAGCGTGTAGGATTTAGTTGCAGATTACAACTCCCTCGCTTCACCCTCCACTTCAAACCACGTAGGAGAAACTACGGAGGCCGAAAAAAACGTGAAAAATGCGAATGTAGATGTAGAGCCAGAGAGGTCTGTCCCTTCTGGGCTTCTGTAGAAAGAAGATTCTGATGTGCAGCTGATTACACACTAATGAAAACATAAACCTATTAATATTATTATTAATTAATATCAACCTGCTTCCTTCAGGGACCTTTTCCATCGTTAATAAACTGACTCATATTCTATTGATATTTTATATTATATTCAAACAATGAACTCAAACAGGGAACTCTTTGTGTAAAACCAGAGATTTGGATGAAATATGAGCAGATTATTTTCAGTTTATGGAACTTTTTATCTGTATTATGTTTCTTTTAATAATTTCTAACAATCATACAAACTTAATATGATTCTTTTTTCTTTACTTAACAGTTTACATTCACTCTTCTTCACAGAAGTGAACCAGATGCTGAGCTATAGGTCTACTGTATATTCATTTAGTTTTTTTACACGCCTTAAAATCAAGAAGGCTTTGCAACCCCCCTGTAAAGCTTTGGCGACCCCTGGTGCTCGTGGTCAGGAACCACCGTCCCGACCTTTAATTTAAGCTGTTTACTGCTGCACTCGGTCTGTTTCGGTGTCTGTGCCACTGACTCAGGGTCGTTACAGTAAAGTGACTCGTGCCAGCTTCTAACCATAACAACCAAGTATTGGGGAGTAATGCGGTCCTGACCTGCGTTTAGTATTTCAGCTCTATTAATAGTCACCTCTTCACCACGGAGACACACACACACACACACACACACAGAGCTCTCCGGCAGGCCTCAAATATCACCATCGACCGCCACCGAGTCGGGGATCAGACCTGCTGCAGAGGCATCGCCAGCGTTACTGATTCTTTGTGCTCAGCGACTCAGCTGCTGTTTAACTGGAGGTACGGGTGGTTTCATTCTAGGTCAGAGGGCTGGTTTGTTATCTCACTTTATGGTTTTTAGGCGTGAACTCGACTTTCCTGCCCTCACACTTTAAGACAATTTATATTTCTGTTGATGTTTCCGTGTGTGGAGATGTTTGCCAACCAGCTGGAGCAGACGAGGTTTTGAGTAAGCCAGCTCTTGTTGTTACTGTGTCAAGGGTGATAAAACAAGCCTCCCTCTCTCTCTCGGTCTCTTCCTCTCAGGTTGTTTAAAGGCGGAAAAAGGCAGCAAACCTCCTCCTCTTCCTCTGCCAGCCTCTATTTCCTCTGGAGAAAGAAGGGCCAGTCGGCGTGTGCTGCGGCGGAGGAAAGGTGGTTGACAGCTCCTGAGAGACCGGAGCTCCTCAGACAGCTTAGCGACAGTCCCGTCGCAGGCTCTCCGGGAGGCTGTTTGGATATTTGGGTGCAGCCATGTCACCGTTCCTGCGGATCGGGTTTTCCCAGTTCGAGATCGATCCCGGTCTGGCTTACCATGAAGAGGTGCTGAACCCATACTGTGCTGTTTACATGAAGGAGGCCATTGACACAGGTCAGTGATGTGGTTCTTGTGATTATAACTCTATAAAATGTCAGAAAATAGTGAAGAATGCTCGTCACAGTTTCATCTTCATGTCCGAATATATCAAATAATGATTATATAAAAACAGAAAAATATAAATAAACCTGCTGGAACTGATTGATCGGTTATCAGAATCATTGGCAACTGATTTTCCGTCCATTGACTAATCGGTTAATCGACTAATTGTTAAAGTGCTATGAGTGATGTCACCAGAGTCAAACCGACATCACAGCGTCTGGTTCCAACGCGCCGATAATTGATTACGTACACGTTTATTGTGGAATCGCCTAGGTTACATTTTAGCCGTTGTAATAGCATTAAAATAATAAACTATGGTATAAACGCTCGTCGATAAATCAAATAGGCGATCAACAGATAATTAATCATCAACTATTTTGATAATCAATTGATTATTTGGATAATTTTTCATGTTTCATTGTTTTTTTTTATGGAAATTTGCTCATTTTATTTGTCTAATATGATAAAAACACTTCATTTCTTTTGAAGGTTTTGACTGTTTTCTGGAGTGAAATTATTTTCTTACATTTTATAGACAAAATGATCAGTTATTGAGGAGAATTGATTGGTAATTAAACTGTAATTAAACTGTAATTAAACTGTCTCAGGTGGTAACACAGTGAATCACACAGTTCTCATATAAAACATATTTAATACGTGTTCATGTGTTTCTTACAGCCTTTAAACAGGCTGCTGACACTCAACAGTAATTCAGCATTAATTCCACTTGATGAAAGCTTCTACATTTGCTCCATATGTTCACCGGCGCTTTCTCAGAAATTAAAGCCTCTGCAAACCAGGAAGTTTAATGTTCAGTTAAGCTACAGCAGTGGGTGGAGTAAATATAGGAATGTGGAAGTAGTATCTTTATTTTTAGATTATGTTGGAGATTAGATTACAGAGCAAAATGCCAAAAGCAGTCTCAGAACGTTCTTATTTTCTCTTTCATTTTAAAAGAAGTTATAAAACGATTAATGCTCCTCACACTGTTATAGATTGTACTATAAATGTTTAAATTGTGCTTTATTTTTGGACATTTTTGAACGTCTTCCTTGCAGTTGTTGATTCACATTCATGGTCACAACTTTGGGAAACTTCCCAGCGTGATAACAGACACACAGCGGATGTCTTTGGTCTGCATCTGGCTATCTTTAAACTGCTGGCGAGCACAAGAGCAAGCTAGAGCTAAAAACAGAGCCGCTGAGTGGAAAGAGGAGGGCTCTGATGCTTCTTTTCCTCTTGAAAACCACAAGAATGGTCCTACGAGGCAGCACAGAGAGGCCCGTCGTGTGTGTGAAGTTCATTTACAGACTCACTGGGAGGGAAAATGCCATTTAGTTTCATTTCATGTGCGATCACATACTGATACAACTCGTGTGTTTGCATTGAAACCAACACGCACAGCAACCAGTTTTAACTCTATTTAAGTTGTGGACATAAAATAAGCTTTAGTGGTGTCAGACTTTGTGACAGACACACTGGCTGAGTTTGGGAACTTTATGATGAATGATGAATCTCCCATCAGGCCCTCTGGCTCATTTCATCTTCAACAACAAGCTTTCCTTTGACGTTGAGCGTTCAGTCTCTTTAAGTGTCACTTTGTAGCTCAGCTCGTAGGAGTTAACGTCTCGCTGCCTGTCTGCTTTTGTCTTCTCTAGATCAATGAAGATTACCTGGAATTCAAATAATGATTATTAACCTTATAATTATTATTATTTGTCTGCTGCAAAAGCTTAAATTTCCCGTGAGCTGGACTGAGACAGAAACATGAAACTTGGCCCAATAACTGGAAATGAAGAGTATGTGCTTCCTGAGAAACATGAGCCAACTCAGCCAGATGGTGGCGCTGTAATTGATTGTCGATTGATTTGAAATTGGACACACAAGTCCAGCTCGATGTGCTCTATAAAGAAGCCTCGTCCACCACTAAAGTCCAACCAACTACATTTTCAACCATTTTGAATATTTGAAAATATAGTTTTGACGTCTCCTCCTGAAACGTCGGTCCGATTGCTACCAGATCTTCCATAGATCATCACTGGGTGAAGCTGATCAATAGTTACATATGGGTTATTGATATTTTATTTAGTTTTCAAGATATTGACCAACGAGCTTTAGAAGGAGGCGTGGCTCAGCACATTTACAGACAGAAGTCAGCAACCGTTGGGCCGATCATCACAAAACTCCCAGGATACGTCCAGATAGGAGCCTCAAACATATCCTGAAAGTTTCATTAAATCGACCAATAGGGGGGCGCTACGCATGCAAAAAATGGGTGTGGAATAATAAAGCAGTCCTGAGTGTACGACTATTTGGACATTTCTAACTTCTTCTAATATATCAATCTAAAGTTATTTTTTGTATTAATTAATTAAATGTTTATAATAATGTGACATTTTGTAGATTTAAAATATATCAAGTAAAGAGATGTTCCTCTGCAGCAGCACGTAGTTTAAAGATTACAGATCAAAATAACTTTATTTAAATCTATATTTATAATGTATTTTTATAATTCCCATGAAAAGAACAAAACCAACAATGTCTCAGTATTTCTGACGTCTCCAGTGGTTCCTGCCAACAGGAATAAATCCTTCAAAACAGCTCATAAATGTATTGTTTTAGAAAAAGAGTCCATGTAGACTTTAGCAAATGTTTAAAGAAGTAACATTTGTTGGGGACTATTTTCAGCGGCGGATTAATCCACATTTGGTGCTTTGATGAGTTCCAGCAGCAGCACAGTGTTTGTGAGCCTGAGTCAGAGCAAACAGAACATATATCAGGATTAAGTGCGTCAGCTGGATGAATTCATGGTCGGCTTTCGTCTTTTCATGGTAGAAAAACTTCCAGTTTTATTTATAGGAGATGTTTTCATGTGAATGTTCAAAAACACAACGTGAAAATAAAGATGCTGTCTGTCGCTTGTGTAACTGACTCTAAGCAGTTTCCTTTTTTTGCCGTTTCGAACAGTAGCCCATTCTTGTTTAACTTCCACTTTTTAAATGAGGTGAACCTGCACGCTGAGTTGTATGGAGGACCGAAACCGCCAAAAATATTATAAATCAATTAAGGCATTAATTGATTTATAAAATGTGAAATAAATAAATATTTCTGTTTTAATTTGCTTTTCTATTTATTTACTGTCCCGTTAAATTTACATTTTATTTATTAATTAACTTATTTATATCCCAAAACTTATTTATTTTTACTTTTACGGGTGTGTTACAAAATCATGCTAAATATGACGTCAGATTGGGTACGCAGTGTGTTTCAGCTGTGATTGTTGCGAACAGAGAAATGCCGGATATATAAACTAGATTAGCAAATATTCAGCGTAAGCTTACTGAACATACTCAACCGCCCCATAATGCATTGCGTCTCATCAGACCAGTCAGACTGCAAAGCAGACGATTTTATTAAGATTAAGATTAAGATTTTATTTAAAAAGTTCTCTTCTGAGAATATTTGATGTGAGAAATTTTGACACAGATTTTGAATATCTACAGTATTTTTATTTATTTATGGAAATTGATTGAAAATTTGCTCAAACATTTTCGGAGCTCCAGCGGGAGGTAGCCGGTCGACATTTCTATCTACACAAATGCAAATATATACGTCTACAAGCTGCTTTTAACTGGATCAAACAACATATGCAACTTGCTGAAGCTGTAATTGATTGATAATGTATAATTCCTCCAGTAATCATTAATCAAATCGCAATATGATTTTTTTTACCGTATCACGGAGCGGCTACTGAACTAAGGTGCTTAGTACTGTGGGGCCTCCGTAGAGGCTTTTAAGCTCAAAGGCTGTTAATTTAGTGAAGAGACTTCATTGGTTTAGTAACCAGGAGCAGCTTCTTGCATGAAAGGAAAAATGGAATAACTTTGAATTCAACGTCTTCAGTCTTCATTGAACATGTTTGCAGACAGAGGAAGCCGTAGACTCCTTCAAAGGAGCCATGTACGCACACCTTAGTCTGAAATGCCCCACCATGGTACTTTTTCACAGAATAACACAGGAACTGAGTGACGGCTGACACCAAAAAACATCTCTCATATCTCGAGCTGCATAACTGCTGCAAGGAAATTCACAGGCTTGTGTAGCTGGTGGAGAAACAAACACACACATTTCCTCTCTTTAAAAAATCAGCACAGACGGCGGCTACCAGAGCCGGTGGACAGACAGCCGGTGAGCCGATGATGGAGGAGGCCGCGGATCACTTTGGGAGTAAAAAGCTTAGTGGGCTTTATTGTTGAAGCATGTGGCTCTTATGTAAGTGGATATTTTGGATGCTGTTGCGGAGAAAAATCAGCAGATGTTAATTTTTTAAAAAAAGGTTTGCTGGTCACAGTGGTTAAATGTTCAGTATAGCCAACATCCTGCAGACTAAATGTGTTAGAATAAGAACATCTGACATGAGATTAGCATATTTTAATGTACAGGAGGGTCGTGGATCTCAGCATTGAATGACAGCATAAGGCTGTAAAAGAGCATTTAATCCTCGGAGAGCGACACGCTATACGTTCCTCCTATAAACTGGGATTAATTCCTGGTGTCGTTTTTCATCAGCGGCACGAAATCTTCTCCATCTTCCGGATGTTAATAATCAGAACTTCAGTGAGGGCGATGATATTCTATACTTCTGTTATTGCCAACAATTATTGTAAAAAGACTCGTTACCACGCTGTCTGTGACCCTCATTCCTTCATTCTGACGTAAACGCTTTAAAACATGTAATAAATATATACTTTCATTTATTTAAACGCTAAAACACAATAAGTAAATCACATTGTTGTTGTCAGCAAATGTTACTCAAACTGAAATAAAGGACTATTTTCAGTGGCGGATTAATGCACATTGGTGCGGTAGTGTAATGTTCCCCCAGGACCTTCTTTTCTATCGTTGAATAAATGACGACTCCTGACTCAGTGACACATATAATGGATATTTCATATTATATTCAACAATAACAGCAGAGAACAATGAACACAAACAGGGAACTCAATAACTGCTGGAGGTTTGTGGAAAATTATATTTTTTGGAACTTTTTATACAACTTTTTGTATATTTTTGTTTTCTAACAATCATACAGACTTAATAAGGTATTCTCCATTGTTCTATAGTTTGTGTTCAGGTCTTCACCTTCTATAGACCAACTGTATGTGTTTTTAAAGTTTTCTCTCCCCCACTTAAAGTTAAGAAGGCCTTGCAACCCCCCTGTGAACCTCAGGTTGGGAACCACTGATAGAGAGTATTTAGGGCAGCAGGGTCTGTGTATGTGACTGCTGCACTACATTGTGTGTGTTCTTGGTAATGAAAGAGCAACCATGTTCGTTTTGTCTTTGTGGCTTTGAACTGTCAGTCTGACTCTGGAGGGCTTCCCCGAGCTCAGAGGCTAAGGAGAGGAGGCCGATCCACAACGGAGAACGTTTCCGACTGTTGTCTGTTTCATTCTTAACTTTTGTCTATTAAAGAAACAAATCAGATTTTTTCCAGGAGAATGTCTGTGAATGGATGATTGTGTGGTACCATTAAGCTCTTCATTGATCTGTGAGGAATAAGATCCATCAGGCTTTCATTCATTGTTGGTTTTGGTCTTTTAATGGGATTTGTTGACAATAACAGAAACTATAGTCCAGGATGAAATATGAGTCTGCATCCCGCCGGTCACTAGAGAACATTTCCTTTGCTGATGCACAGGAAAAACTTCCCACTGCAGATTCATTTACATCTTAAAAAGGTCAGAGTAAGTTTGCTAATGAATAATGTCTCTTTTCTTTTGGTTTTCTAGAAAAGGGCCAAGTGTACAAGCAGAAGAAGCCCACCATGTACCCGCCGTGGAGCACCACGTTTGACGCCCACGTCCACCGCGGCCGCATCATGCACGTGATGGTGAAGGACCGGACGGCGGAGCTGAAGTCCGAGGCCACGGTGGCTCTGGACTCGCTGGCGACGCGGTGCAAGAAGGAGAACGGCAAGCTGGAGATCTGGGTGAGTGCAAAGCTGCAAATGAAGACAACAAAAACCCGATACAACAGCGTGGGAGAAGCAGTGATTGTTAAGGTGGAACTGCTTTATTCAGTGTGTTTAAGGTGGAACTGCTTTATTCAGTGTGTTTAGTGGTTTTAATCAGCGGGTCTGTTTGTGTTGGAGAGGAGGAGACCTCTGTGGATCATTGGGCTCCCGGTAGAAACCTCCTGAACCATGAACATTGAACCCAATGGTGGTGAAGACAACAACTCCCATGATCCCACGCTGCAGAGGCTCAAACTGGCTGGACAGTGGACGCTGATCCACGTCAGCAAACTTGGTCTTTAGTTACTGTTTGGATGTGAGAGACCCCCTGGTGGCAGAAACAGTTTCCAGCAGGCTGACTGTGAGATGGAGGTGTTGGAGTGTTTTTGAGGTTAATCAGAAATGAAAACAGATTATTTCTTGTGCATCAGAGTTTTTCCCTGGAAAATGTGTCTGAGTGACGCCAGCGTTCACAGTGTCAGTCAGTCTGTCACTGTCCATCATCCACATCCTTCCTCTTTTCAAACTCATGTTATTCTCATGAATTTCTGTTCAGTTTCTCTTTTCTGTCTGTTTCTTTCAGCTGGAGCTGAAGCCACAGGGCCGCCTGCGGATGGAGGCCAGATATTATCTGGAGAAAAGTGGTGGGTGGTTCCTGCCGTTTCGTTTAAAACTAAATTTCCACTAGAACTTGTCAAGTAATCCACATCTGTTATGTCAAGATCACTGTAAGTCTTAGAAGTAATAAACAGAGCACTCATTGCCTTCAGGGCCACATTTGCTATTTTTAATAAAAGAAATATTCTTGTGAGAAAGAATTATTAGAGCAACAAACCATTGTTGTACACATTTTACTCTTTTAAAGGCTTCCATGTGACAGTCGTGGGATTTCTGAGGGAATATTTTAACTTTTTTAGGGTTGAAACGGTCAAACACTGTATGAATTTAGTGAAAAATACACGTCACATGTTAAATATTTATATTTCTACAGTCAAACACTATATTTAGTGTCTTTTACCATCATAAAATCTTTAAAAGCTTGCATTACTCACATCCCCCCGGCCTAATTACATTTTCCTTAACTAAAATTACATTGTGAGTCTGTGCTGGTTGCTTTCACCGGTGCTTTCCTGACATTTACATGATGCCCAAAAAGAAGAAGCCATCTCATGATCCTATATATAGAGTTGGCAAACAGGTGGCATAGAGACTGCTCTGACAACCTGATCCTAATCCGATGTGTAACTTCCTCCTGCAAACATTTCGTTGTTCAACAACACTGTGGTCTAACTGACCGATTATTCATTAGAAATTACACGTTGTCAGAAAATGTGCTTGTTTGCTTAATTTCCAAGAATGAGATGAGATGAACTGCTGTGCTGGAGCAGGTTCTTGCAGATCAATAGTTGGTAATCGTGACTCTCACAGCGTGACTTGTCCAAAAACCAAAGTCACAAATTGTCCTTTTTCCATCTCTGTTCTTGGGTTTAACAAATAATATAAACTGTGTAAATAAAGTCGGTGATGGTTGGAGTATTTCTTAACTATTGACAGAGCCAGGCTAGTCTTTATGCTAAGCTTCAGGGCTTCATTTGTAAAATGGAGTGAAGATCAGTTTTGATCTTAAAGGTCCAGTGTGTAACATTTAAGTGGATTTATCATCAGAAATGTAATATAATATTCATAGGTATGTTTTCATTAGTGTTTAATCACCTGAAAAAAAGAATCGTTGTGTTTTTGTTACCTTAGAATGAGAGTTTTTATCTACAGACCCTCTTCTGGCGGGGTCCGCCACGTTTCTACGGTAGCCCAGAACACTTGCTCTCAATAGGCCCTTTCAGGTTTTTTGCAGCCACTTTAGTTTCTCCGACACACTTCACAGCCCGTTCTCATTCCCAGGTTGTCAAATACAGACGCGAGCCGTGTTCAGTTAGTTGCCTCCACACTGCTGTAAGTATGACTTACACAGAAAACCACATATCAGTTTGCTGATAATTAGCCTGATTAGCTATTAGCTCAATAATTAATACACACATTATTAAACAATTAATAAAATCAATAACTAACAGCAGGTAACGTCAGACAACATTATCATATACAGTGTTTCTGTAGTGGTGACAGAACTAGTCTGAAAAACTTGCTTCCCTCTTCGCTTCCTTTGTAAAAACACGTAACTCTAGAAACACAAAATAAAGAGGGTCATATGTCGAAAGTCTTTCTGTCAATTCAGCATCAATATAACCCGTAGATCAACTTTATTCTGCACAAACTTTACATTTGCCTCAGCTCACAAAGAGCAGCTGCAACAGAGAAGACTGACTCGTGCTTGTGATTAGACTAACTGTTTGGTCAAACTGAAACCAATGTCGGTAGGAAACGCTTCTAGATCCAGTAAAAGGTGAGAAATCGAAGACTTAGGTGTGAGATCCTCTTGACAGGAAGCAATTGCTCTGAGCAGAGAAAGCTGAGCTCAACAACAGTGAGTCTGTTACAGAAAGGATCTCAAATAAAATCTGTGTAAGATGCATTTATTCAGTGTTTTCTGTTTTTAATAAAGTTTGTGTGATGTGTTTCAGATGCTGCAGGTCAGACTGAGGGCGACCCAGAGGAGACCCAGGAGAGAGAGGGTCTGTTCGCGCTCCACCATCGGCGAGGTGCCATCAAACAGGCCAAAATCCACGTGGTCAAATGTCACGAGTTCAGCGCCACGTTCTTCCCTCAACCGACCTTCTGCTCCGTCTGCAAAGAGTTCGTCTGGTACGTAAAAACATAAAAAAATCACTGAAACAATCATCATTTCATTCATTATCTCGCTCATGATTTCACCTGTTTTATCCGCCGCAGGGGTCTGAACAAGCAGGGGTACCAGTGCAGACGTGAGTGTCTCATAATTTCCCACTGATGGAGTCTGAGTGACGGCTTCTTTCCCCCCCATGTGCCTAACTGCCATCTTTCTGTCTTTCAGAGTGCAACGCAGCCATTCACAAAAAATGCATAGACAAAGTAATCGCCAAGTGCACCGGGTCGGCCATCAACAGCAAAGAAACTATGGTAAGAATCTGCCTGGTGTAGGCGTGCAGTGGATGGCGGCGTGTCCTCCCTCACGGGCGGTCGGTTCAATCCGCTGATGCAGCGCGTGTAAGAGATTTGTAAAGTTGTGGTTTTAATGCTTACTAATCAAACAGCTCACACGGAGGCACCGGCGCTTACATTCAGCCGCTCATTTACTGCTTTTATCTTCTTACTCTTGTTTCACTTCCTCCTCAGAGGATGAGTTCATACGCACGAAACCAAAAGAGAATGCAAAACCTTGAGTTTGTGCAGTGCAGACGGACCCGCCGCCCTCTACTGCCTGCATACAGGAAGTGTTTCTGCTGCACTGTGTGATCAGCTGTGTGACGTAAAACGTGTGTGTGTGTGTGTGTGTGTGCCTGCAGATCCACAAGGAGCGCTTCAAGATCGACATGCCCCACAGGTTCAGGGTCTACAACTACAAAAGTCCCACGTTCTGTGAACACTGCGGCACTCTGCTGTGGGGGCTCGCCAAGCAGGGGCTCAAATGTGAGGGTGAGAGGCGGGAGTTTTCTGTCATCTTTGTCATGTTAAAGAAACTGGACTTATGGTTTACACCGCGTCAGGCCTGGGGGAGTTCCGTAATCAGGACATATTTGATGCTCTGGTTCATCATCAGATTTCTACACAGTTGAAAAAGTTCAGTTCTAAAACGCCACAGTGCTGCTGACAGCGCAGGTCGAAGGTCAGTGTGTCTCTGAACTGAACCAAAGAATTAGCTCTTTATATTAAACCGCCTGAAGGACAGAAATAATGAGCACTGAATGATAATATTCTCAGTATGTACAGATAATGTTTATTTGCATACAGAGCGGGGAAGTGAGAGCCGATCACAAATGTAGAGATGCATTCAATGCCATCAGATCCCCCAGGACGCTGACTGTAATGTCTGTAGTCTGACTGTGTACAAATTAAATAATAACAGATCGCAGTTTGTAAAAAAAAAAATTATTTGTCACACACTGTCAGTATGTGGAGTAATACAATGTAATACTGCTGTGCAAGAGTTGAAATAAGAGTTAGTAAAGCAAACAAAGACAGAAACGTGAAGATAAAAAGTTATCATTCATATCGCTTTGACGTAACATTAATCAGTAATTCTCCTCAAATGCATATAATGATATTGGTGCAGTGTATTCTGTAATAGTACAGCTAAATCTCTGTTATATATAATATCTATTGATATTATTGATCAAAATCACAAGTTTCCCTCAAACAGTTTTACAGTCTGTACAACAAACAGTCATATTCTTAGAGCCTCACTTCGGATAAGTTAAAACCTTTTTTTTTTTAAACGTTGACGTTTGATTGAAAGAAACCACAGCAGAAAATGTGCACACGGGAGTCAGCAGGAGTCAGCAGGAGTCAGCAGGAGTACAGTTTATGAAACCTATAAGTGCTAGCAACGTTATTTTCACCTCCACATTTAAACCTCCAGTTTACCCAGTTTCAACCCAGAATCACCAACAGCAGCAACAACAGTATGTACTGTACACCAGGCACTTACTACTGTACATGTATCTCTACATCACACAGCAATATTCTTAGAGCCTCGGTTCAGATAAGTTAAAACCACAGCAGATAAATGTGCCTCACACACAGAGGTCAGCGGATGGAGACACTTTATGAAAGCTAAGTGCTTTTCAGCCTGTAAAAGGAACATTTAAACCTCCAGTTTACTTAGTTTCGACCAAGAATCACCAACAGCAGCAATCATTTAGTCTCCAATCTAACACGATACTCTCCCAACAGCTGGAACAGCAGCACATATTTCAGCATTTTCCCATCAGGAATCTGCAGGAACTCACTGCAGCTGCTGCAACAGCTGGAGGTTCATCAGATTTACAACACGAGCCCGCACACTGGTGTCACTGTGTGCGGGGAGCGAGGGTCTGGGTACTGTGTATTATATAACAACCACCACCAACAGATTTTAACAACAGTTGTTAACATGGAGGCAGCGGGCTTCATGAACTGTGCTGCAGTCAGCCACCAGGGGGAGATCAAGAGGGTCTATACTGTTGTGCAAGTGCTCTTACTCTGACAACAATCTGGTTCCTCTGCTGGGATTTTATGCAACCGTTGTTGTTACTGGTTAAATTGAGCTCAATATTAGCTGGAAGATCTCACTAAGACACAGTTAGAGATATTTTCTTTAATGTAAAACCTGCTTAACAAGATTATTTTAGTTTTTTAGACAAAAAATAGGACTCATTTCCCAGAAGAGATGCAAAACTGTGTTCTGTATGGCAGTTTATTTATGACGGGATAAACTGTGGTGATGTTGTGTTTTCTGTGCAGAATGCAGCATGAACGTCCATCACAAATGCCAGAAGAAAGTAGCCAACCTCTGCGGGGTCAACCAGAAGCTGATGGCTGAGGCTCTGGCCGTCATCGAGAGCCAACAGCAGGTCGGAGAAACCAATCTTTTAAAATCTGTACTTTTATTTTGAGGAATGGACCTCACTAAACCTCCCTGAAGGAGTTGTATGTTCTGGTCCGTGCACAGAAAGGTTACGAGGGTTTTCAGATCTTCTGTTTCCTGGTTTTGACCTTAAAATGCTCAACAACATAGATCAAATCCCTAAAACCTGAGTCTGACGGTCCAACCTTCTGCCTTCAGGCCCGAAGCACCAGAGAACCTGATATCATCGGTCGAGAAGGTCCGGTGGGCGTCGGCCAGCCGGGGGTGGTCCGAGCTCCATCGGGGTTAGTAACCAGCACGGCGGCTGCAGCTACGCCTGCAAACAAAGGTACGCACCCTCTAAAAGCTTCACCAACATGCAGCCCGTCACTTCCTCTCCATGGTTCTTTAACGATTCCCGACCTGCGTCTTCCCGTAGAGGTGCAGGGGGTTGCGTGGGACGGACCGGGGGACGTCGGCAGGATGATGGCGGAGGCGTCGACAGGAGACGACCCTCTGTACGCCGTCCCCAATAAGGAACGCCAGTCCAAGTTCAGCGTCGACGACTTCATCCTGCACAAGATGCTCGGGAAGGGCAGCTTCGGAAAGGTACCGGACGGCGAGCTGAACCCAGGGAACTAGAGCTGTTTTAATATTTCCACTCTTATTATTAATATTATATTTATATTGTAGTCCTCTGTAACCTGCTGGGGTGGGACTGCCACTAGGGGTCGCCAAACCGTAGCAGCAGGCCGGTATCTTGACCTTAGTTCAGCTTCATAAATTAAATTGTTATTATTAAAGTTTTGATTCACAATGTAAACCTGAACACAGTTTATATTCACAGAACCTTCAGCCTCGTCCTGCTTTAGAAAACAATTCAGTCTGTATGATTGTTAAAAATGTAATAAATATATAATACAAACAGAGGATTGTATAAAAAGTTGCTAAAAATATCAGGAAAATATTCAATCATCAATATTCACTGCCTCCAGCAGTTATTGAGTTCAATGTTTGGGTTCATTGTTGAGTTTATCAGCTGTTCTCTGCTGTTATTGATATTATTGAATATAAGATGAAATATTATATATATAAAAAAATGTTGGGAACCACTGATGTAGAGAATATTCAACAGGTAGCAGAGATATATTGTAATTTAATCACAGTGGAAGCAGGGTGAAACATATAATTCAAAGTACAAAGCTTACAGGATGGCGAGGGCAGGTGAGGGTCCAAAAAGGGGGAAGGGCAAGAAACCCAATAAAACCCACAGAAAGTCCAAAACCAGCAGGAAACACATGGGAAGGCTGACACACAGGTGACACACAGGTGACACACAGGTGACACACAGGTGACACACAGGTGAACCTAATGAGGGCGGGGCAGACTGGAGGGAAAACAGACAGGAAGACCCTTTCAACATAAAACTTCTGCTTTGATTTTAATGGCAGATTGCAAACCAACTTATAAAGGTGCATACCGCCACCTACTGTACGAGAGTGTGTAACATCAGGGTTTCACATACTGAAGCGTTTTAATGGTCTTAATCAAACCACTTCCTCTCTTCTACACTTCTCTTTGAAACTGGACCACAGTGGAAACAATTATCACTCTCACACAGCAGGTTGTGGTCCCGGTGTGGTTGTTCAGCTAGTTTTTAGAGAAAAACCACTGACTTCTCTCCACTCTGACGCCATCGTTGGGGGGGGCACAGAGAAAGGTTCGGAGTCCATTTACAGCAGTTCTGTCTCTGCTGTGTTTGCAGGTGTTTTTAGCCGAGCTGAAGAAGAGCGGGAAGTTCTTTGCGGTGAAGGCTCTGAAGAAGGACGTGGTGCTGATGGACGACGACGTCGAGTGCACCATGGTGGAGAGGAGGGTCCTCTCGTTGGCCTGGGAGAATCCTTTCCTCACACACCTTTACTGCACCTTCCAGACCAAGGTAACGCCCCGCCCACACCTCGCTCAGGTCTCAGCTCCTCAGCCGGCGGTGGCCCCTGACCTCTCTCTGCATCTTCTGTGTGTCCAGGAGAACCTCTTCTTCGTGATGGAGTACCTGAACGGAGGAGACCTCATGTTCCACATCCAGAACTGCCACAAGTTTGACCTGCACAGAGCCACGTATGTATCCCATCAAAAGGTGGTACCAGGACCCTGATTCAGCAAGACCCTTAACACAACACAACACAACACAACACAACACAACACAACACAACTCAACACAACTCAACTCAACACAACTCAACTCAACACAACTCAACTCAACACAACACAACTCAACACAACACAACTCAACTCAACACAACTCAACTCAACACAACACAACACAACACAACACAACTCAACACAACACAACTCAACACAACACAACACAACTCAACTCAACACAACTCAACACAACTCAACACAACTCAACTCAACACAACACAACTCAACACAACACAACACAACTCAACTCAACACAACTCAACACAACACAACACAACTCAACTCAACACAACTCAACACAACTCAACTCAACTCAACTCAACTCAACTCAACACAACTCAACACAACACAACCGACCCCTGAACGATACCCATTTTTCAGTGCTGTTTTCTGCGTTAAGCTAGCTGTGTGTTTACAAAGAGACAGTTACCTAGGCGATAATTACCGCCTGTATTCTGCCTCTGATTGGCTCTGACATCAACAACATCACTGTTACATTTCAACAACTAAAACACCTCTGCAGACCAAACTTTATTCAAAATTGGGCATTTTAATACCAACATACATGCTGACCATCACATCTGCTTCCTGAAGAAAGAAACTCAAATACCGACACACACACACACACACACACACACACACACACACACATTATAGACAGTGAATTCATGAAGTTATGAGTCGATGTTTAATTCAGCTTATATTTAATCCACCGGCCAGAAGTTGAATATCAATTATTAACAATATAGGAAATCCTTCCCACAGTCTTATCCCACTGACAACGGAGGCTGTAGCTGTTGACAGAATCGCACTTTATCTCGTGTTTCTAGAGTTACGTGTTAAAATGTGATATTTCTTAAATGGAATTTGGGGCAATATATTCCCTGAAAGTACAGAACACAATGGAAACTAATACTTTTATATATAATAATGCAATAAACTGACATTAATTGTGAAGCAGCAGCTTTATTGGTCATGTTTGAAATAAAAATAAATTAAAATATATAAAAGTTGTTATGAACACATTGTGGTCTATAAGGAGAATTTGGGCAGATGATGCAGCTGTGCAGGTGTTGAAGTTTCAGGTGACTGTTTGTACTGTTTGCTCTGTCTTGCTATGAATCCTCTTTGTGTCTCCCTGCAGTTTCTACGCAGCCGAGATCGTCTGCGGACTCCAGTTCCTGCACTCTAAAGGAATCATTTACAGGTAGAGTCTGAGCACGAGCCACAGAACCGAGAACTGGAACAAGTTGTCTTCAGTGTTTAATGAATTATACAGTGAAGAAAATAAATAATGGCAATAATTTCTGGAAGTTTCACTTTCTCCTGCAGTTTCAATGCTGCAACAATCCCCCAAAAACAAGCCTGCAACATCCTGGAGGGAGCGTTTTATGCTGTATTATTGTCCTCACATCCTCCTGTTGCTCTGCAGGGATCTGAAGCTGGATAACGTGCTGCTGGACTCTGAGGGTCACATAAAGATAGCGGACTTTGGGATGTGTAAGGAGAACATGCAGGAGGACTTGCGGACGTCCACCTTCTGCGGGACGCCCGACTACATCGCCCCCGAGGTGACCGCACACACCGCATCCTAACGGAAACCGGAGAGTCTGTAAAACCAGAGATTTGGATCAATTTAGAGATTATTTCCTGTCCATATTGATCACAGATGAGGTTTCCTGATATTTTTTAGGAACTTTTTATACAATTCTCTGTCTGTATTTTTCTTTTTACATTTTTAACAATCAAACAGACTTTGACAGATTCAGTGTTTTCTTCTCATTGTTCTATCAGCTCTTTGGTTGTTTTAACTTGATCAGAGACTGAGTCTAAAAGAATCATCTAAACTTTAAAAAATATAAAACATATTTAGTTTTCTCCACAGAAATGAAGTAGAAGATATAGACCTCCTTTATATAGGTTTAAAATATTCTTACATTATTTCATAGAGAAAAAAACAACAAATATCAGACTGTTTGCTGTAATTTAAGTTTTAAATTTAGAAAATCTACCGTGCAACCAGAGCTGGTGACTTCCTGTTTCAGCAGCCTGTGTGTGTGTGTGTGTGTGTGTCAGATCCTGCTGGGTCAGAAGTACAACAGCGCCGTGGACTGGTGGTCGTTCGGGGTTCTGCTGTACGAGATGCTGATCGGTCAGTCTCCGTTCCACGGTCGAGACGAGGAGGAGCTGTTTCAGTCCATACGAACGGACAACCCCGTCTATCCACGCTGGCTCACCAAAGACGCCAAAGACATTCTGGTCAAGGTCAGTCAGCAACAACTACTCTATAGCAGCAGTAATCTATAGCAGAGGTCAGTTACATGCTGTACTGTTGTACGTTTTATTATTACATAATCTTTTGTATCATAAACTGACTTTTTATCCAGTTTGAATTTTTCCCATCCACTGAAGGATGAAGGATCTTAAGTTATCAGAGAAACAAACCGTTGAGTTTCTAAAGCTCGTGCTCAGTTGTGACCTCTGCTGCTGTTTGCTCTGCAGCTGTTTGTGAGGGAGCCAGAGGAGCGACTGGGAACGAAGGGAAACATCAGACAGCACAGTTTCTTCAGCAGCACCGACTGGGATAGCCTGGAACAACGGCAGGTTGCGCCGCCCTTCAGGCCAACTTTAGTAAGTACAGCCACACCCTAAAGCTTACCCAGCTTTATCGTCTGTAACACTTAGGAGGAAACACCAGATTATGTTGAAAATGAAGCATTTTTTTATGAATATATTCAAATTCAAGCAGATTTAAAACCTTAAGACTTTATACTTACAGTCCACAACAAATGCAGTTTACTGAGAAGCTCTTTAAGGCCTTTCTTCTAGTTTTGGCATTTTTATGGGATTTTGTTGAAAAATACAAAATGTCCTAAAGGCCTTATTCTTTAAATAAGACTACACAACTCAATAACTATATAATCGTTGAAATGTATATTTATATAAGCTGTATTATGCTCTAATCATGTGCAGTATATTACCAGGTACTGTCATTGCACATTATAGTCTTTCCTTGTGTTATTTCTTATCTTTAGTGTTTTATTTTGTGGGTTTTATGTGTGATTTCTCTGCTGTAACACTTTAATTATTACTTGCAGACGTCGCCCAGTGACTGCAGTAACTTCGACAAAGAGTTCATCAACGAGAAGCCACGGCTGTCGTGTGCCGACCGGACGCTCATCAACAGCGTTGACCAGACGATGTTCAGAAACTTCTCCTTCGTCAACCCGGGGATGAATCGCATTGCAGCGCGCTGACATCCCCCCCGACCAGCAACCTACAACTACCTACAGGCAACCAGTACTTACTGGAACCAACTCAAACTGAAGAGACTTTAGACCGCGAATGTCACAAAACTCAACTGTCCATAAACATGATAACCACTAAAGGGGGGGGTCCTGGGTGCTCAACTGTCGCAGCCTCTTTGTCGCATGTCTTTTCTGTCACTCTCCGTTTAATGATGTAAGGTAAATAAAATGATACAGTATACACAATAATCTTTTTAAAAAAAACAGACGACAAAAACGTCTGAGCTGAGACGGAGAGACAAGAAGACTCTTTATGTAAATAATCCGTCTGTTGTTCGTTCTTTGGGTTCCCGTTACAAAACCGAAACATATTAAATAATCAATTTTTTTGTGTTTTTAAAAAAGAAAACTGGAAGTTTTTTTGTTTTATTTATTTATTTTGTTTGTGCTGCAGAGTTATCATTTTGTATTTTTATTTTGTTTTGAAGTGTCAGTATTAGTTTTATTGTTATAATAATATGAATAAGAATCAGGGGTATCTGTGAAGCAGTGACTGAGCCACCGTGCTAACAAAAGAAAAACTTAAATTTTCTCTGTTTTAAAACAGAAAAACGCCTTTTTTAAATTTGTTTTTCTGTTTTTCTGATTTGGTTTTGAAACCAAAGAACGAACGATTTACGGATTATAAATAATAACAGTTTACCTGACGTCCATTATGTTGCCTCGTGTGTAACTCATAGTGGCGTTAAACTTTATCGCGATTTAACTCCAACACAAACATTTCCGCTGCCTTTCAGTTTATAAGCATATAATAAATTACTGTGTAGAATTCCCCGTAACGTCTGCTATCAGGGTGTTAATCAGTAGAATAATGTGTTGTAATGAACTTACGGTGCCTCATAATACTTTATGAAGTTCTTCAAGTAAAGCAAACCGCCAAATTAAATGTATTTCCTGTTGTTGTTTGATCTCCTGTCCTATTCCATTGCTGAAAGAGTCTTTTTTAAGGGTACAGATGTTAGAAATCCGTCGCTGTGTAAATAGTTGTACTGTAAGTTGATGTTCAATCACTGTTCATGTTTACGTGTTATCTTATCGTACCTCAGGAGTTTTATTGATCCCTGCATACTGTAGTTTTTATTGTTCTCTTCATTGTGAATCCTGTACAATAAAATGTGGTTTTTTTTAATCCTGCTGATTTCTTTGGATTTAAAAAAAGATTTAAAAACCTTCAGAAGATTAAATTCAGCTCCGTTAACCAGAGGTGGTAACAGGACATTGGTGCAAGAATTTTGGCATTCAGTGTTGGGCTAGTTAGTCAATTGATGACTCATTACTCTTTTTAACTTATTACTCCCTGCCAACAGTAATTAGTTACACTTCTGGTTACATTACTTTTCTGTTACTCCACACAAAAATGCTAATTGTGTCCTTAATCCCCAAAATCCAGTTCTGTTTGTAAAAATCAAAGTAATGTGAATGTTTCCATCTTCCAAACCAGTTGTCCTTCCCACCTCTGATTTTAATTAAATGCAAGCATACACACATTTACGAGCAACTACACATTGTATTTAAACAGAAAACAAGGAAACCTGTCGTTCTTCCAAGTGTTTCTTTATTGGAGTGCAGTATCGGCCTCGGTAACGAAGGATACTTTGGTGTAACGTAGTCAGTCAGACACAATATGTGTTTATGTGAAACTAAATTCAGTGATTCATGTTGGTGTCAATGAATTACAGTATTCCTGCAGTTAGTGAGTGATAGAGATCGATCGGGAGACTGTAAATCCAGAGACGTTCATTTAACTCAAAAAATTGTTGAAACTGTATATATACATTTTAAGTAACACTAACTTAATTCTGTTAAGTTAAAGATTCTTCATTAATCAGCTTTTACCAGTAATTTTAAGTGACACTAACTTAAGTTACAGAAACATTCCCGATTGAGCACTTTTTACTGGTATTTTGTTTACAAAAAAGAACAAACTTTGATGTAAAAAGTTTTAACAACTTGTTTGAGTTAAATTAAGGCAAATATACATTTTACTCACATTTTTTCATAACTTTTTAAGTATATTTTGATGCGAATACGTACGTTTTTGAGTATTTTTAGACTGTGGAACTACGTAAGTGAAATATTTGAGTACTTTAAGCATAATTATGTTTAAATGCTGCAAAAGACAAGTTTTTAACATTATCTTAAAGCATTTATTACTTTATTATTTGTGATGATCAGACAGCGCTGTGGGCGGGACTTTGAGCGAGACTACAGGCAGATCAATGCCGCTCCATCAGAGCCAAAGTACTTTTAAATTAATGTATCGGCAATCGGTAAAAAGAAATAATGATAATTGGAAAAATGCTGAATATCAGATCTGATAATCACGTCTTTCCTTTACCAGTGTAAGGATTAAGATGATACATTGAAATTACGGCAGTGGAAAATAAGAGCGAACTCAATCATGCAGAGCGACATCCTTCAACAGACGTTTGGCTACTCGGGATAAAACGGTGGCAACTAACACTGTAGGAGGTTGTAAAACAGACGAAAATACTAATAATGTGTACGACTGTGGAGATACTTGAAGGCATAACAGGGGGGAGTAACATACTTTTAGTTATTGAGCTACTGTGGCTGATTCGACCTCCGCCCAGGGTAAAGCTTCCAAAAGGGGCGGGGCATAGAAAGGGTACATTTTTGATAAAGCGTAAGTTTAAAGCTTTAAGTCCCTTCCAGCTACAATTGTTTGTTTGGTTGAATGTCAAATTTAGCAACTTGTAAAACTATTCAAAAACAGCCTTCGTCATGCTGCCAACACAATAAATGCCCACAGGCACCGATTATGTGAGTGCTCCACAAGAAGGCCAAACAACACAATAAATAAATACCAAGTTAAGTATTCACGTGTAGGTATTTTTCCTTATGTATAGCTCTGTTGTACTATCGTTGATGTGCAGCCCATTGTAAGTTATATAAAGCAGTATCACATTTCGTTACAGTTTGTGTCCACGTCACGGTAATTACGGTAATTGAATTTGTGACAATCATCAACCTGGTAGATGATAGAAGAAAGATTCATTTCTGTAAATTAAATTACGCTAAATGTGCTCAAATGTACAAACAATGAAGCATTATGTTTAGCTGCAGGTGACCACACTGGGATTTAATCAACACCTGAAGTGCTGTGCAGGTTTATTTTCTGTGAACATAGCAACCGATACGAGCAATTATTGATAAATTCCTTTATATTTAATTTTGCCACATTTCATTTACACATTTTTCACCCAGACGGTCGAAAACAAAACTGCCAAGTGGGTCGAAGAGTCGCTTTCCAATTCACGCTTCCTTCGTTACTGACCAACATTCCTCGTGTTCAACAGTTACAGAGCGCGCGCACACACACACACACACACACACACACCAAACACTGATTTCACCATCAGACAGAACAAGATAAAATGTTAAGTGCTTCAGGACGTCAAACGTTTTAAGATTTTGGGCACACACTGAAGTTTTCATGATTCTTCATTTACAGCAATTCTTAGGTATCTCTTGTTTTTCTTTAAATACTTGGCATCGAAACAACTGGATGGCTGTTGCGTAATCTCACATTATGGTGCCCCGTGTGAGTCCAGAAGGAAGTGTTTGTCCAGGGCAGGAGTCTCGTTCTGTTTCAGTCCGAGGAGAATCCTTTTCTCACTGTTCAGCAGATGAAGACGAGTCCGACACAAATGCAGACGAGACACAATGAGTCCTAAAAACAAAAAGTTCACGCCTCATGCCTTTTGTGTTTTATTATCATGTATCCATTATGGTCAAGAAGGAACTGCATAGGCTACCGTAAAGGGCTTGATACTGTCCTGTGGTAGCTTTACCTTGGCTGTACAGTACAGATGTGGTTGAAACACTAATCCTTAAAGCAACATTATGTAACTTTTCCACCTTAAAATAACAGCTTCACTATCATTCTGATGCTACAGTGAATTGTAACAGGGTGAATGGTGCCTCTGTACGCCTGTTCTCACGATGTGTAACTTTTGGCTCCAGGTCGGAACAAGTGCTTTACGGCACTAAGTCAAACACCGACATCTGAGTCGCTGATTTTGGTGAAACTCGATCATATTTTATGGAGAAATTCTGGTTTTCCTTCTGATCGCTTCAACTCTATGTGATTTACAGAGTTAAGTAACTGCTGCCAAATGTAGCTGCTGTGAGCTAGTTAGCTTAGCCATCCTGTCCTGGACACTCTGGACTGGGTGCTCAGAGCACCGGGGGAGTGTTGGTGTTTACGCTGGTAGCACTGGAGCTCCGGACCGCCGGGGGGGAGGACGTTTTTAGGCTTCGGATGTCAGATCGTGCAGCGGGCAATGTAACTGGGCTCAGCAGCTTCTATGGAGCTAACGGCAGAGGAGAAGAGACCAAAGAGGACGGCGGACGCTAAGAATAGAAAAGCTGCCGGACAAGAGTAAACGTGGGACTGACTTTTAGTTGTTGGTGAAATTAAAGGCTGCACTTGTTTGATGTTTGGCTGTTAGCAACTCACTAGGTTTTGATCATAAGTAATCACATCAAACGTACAGCTGTCCATTAGAGCTGCACTGACTAAAGCTGTTTGTAGTCCACTAGTCGTTGTTAGTCGTTGCACATTTATGATATTAAATTAAATTGTTTAAATACATATATATAAGTCTCGTTATAAGTCCCCTATTCTGTTCTTGCCTGAACCCGTCGTGTTTTCATTGTCAGAGTCCTGGTTCGGAGCCGCTGTAAAATCATCTGGCCTCCATCGGTCTCAGAGGCTGTGAACCCGGTTCTGTTGCCCGCTCGCACAGCCCCTGCGCTCATCCTCCTGTGCGCGACTATCCAACTAATGAAAAGTTGGTCAACTAAGACTCTTCTCAGCAACTAGTTGCAACTTAGGGGCACCAAATGGCAACAAAGACCAAATCTTACATAGTGCTGCTTTAAATGTTTGTCTGTAATGGCTTGTGGATTTCAGAATGACACCTTCATTCGGTGAATCTTCACATTTCAACATCAATAATCAAGAGATTTCTAAACTTTCAATCTGCTTCAAATGAGGGTTGTTTTCTTGATATGCAGGAGGCAACACGGTGTCGTTATAGTATGACTGTGTTTCTAGCATCAGTTCAGAGATCCAGAGGCTTTCATCGCCTCCCGGTGGTGCCGGCACCACTACTACGGTTGAGGTTGCGGCTCAGCTGAGGGAAGTGGACTGTGGGTGTTCTGGATGTAGGACCGTAGAGGCCGAGGTTTCTGGCTGCTGCCGATTTCCTGGGCTGCTTCACGCTAGGGAACGGGGAGAAGACCTGGTGTTTAGGAGTGGAGGCGCCAGTGGACGGGAACGCCGGGGTTGACGGGGAGGAGGACATACGGGATGTGGACGATGAGGAGATGGAGGAGAGTGAGGGAGTGGAGGGGGAGGACGTCTTGTAAAAGGTGGAGGTCGCGGGAGGAGGGAGAGAGGACAGGCTGTTAGCTGAAGGGGATGATGGGAGGCGGGATGTGGAGCTCGGTGGCGTAGGAGAAGCGGATGTAGGGACCGGAGAGGGGGACGGACTCGGGCTGGAAGGTGAGGAGGAAGGGACGTTGAAGGAGTGGTGAGGTGGAGGTAAAGCGATGGAGGTAAAGGGTCTCTCTGAGCCGGAGGAGTCCGACTCTTTATGCGTGTTTAAGGATGGTGGAGGAGGGAGGAGAGGGACTTGGGGTGCAGCTTTAGACTCTGGCAGCGTGGGTTGCGTATCTGGGTTTGCGGAGGTCAGATGTGATCCGTCCTCTAGATCCAGGGAGTCCAGCTGCACCACCACCTCTGCGACTTCTACTTCTTTGGTCACATCTGCAACCTGTGGAGCCTCTTCACACACTGACACGGCACCGGAGGGATCAGGAGATGGAGACACAGAGGAGTCACTCCCCTCTTTCTGCTCCTCATCATTTTCCTCAATCTTATTCTCCTCTTCACCCTCCAGTCTCTCCAATTCTCTCTCTTCCTCCTCGTCTTCCCTTTCCTCTGAACCTCCGAAGCCCAGCTGTTCTCGGGCCCTGGCTATATTCCTCCGATGCACCCGGACGTGAGCACGCCAAGGGGACGTTGCGCCTCCTCCAGAGCTCCCCGGAGATCCGGTACTGTTGGAGCCACAGCGCTGCCTGGCTGGAGAGCCGTGACTCTGGGACAGGGAAGCGGGTCTGGACCCTGGTAGCGTGGATGTGCTTGTGGATGAGAGTCCGGGGCCTCCTCCGCGTGGTTTCCGACCCAGAAGGAGGTGGTTGATGACGGAGCTGGAGGGGTTGAGCTGGGAGGCCAGGACACGGGTGGCGGGGCACTTGTCTGGAGGGAAGAAAGAGAAACATTTAAAACAGGCACACAACAGATGCTAGGCCGCGGAAGCTGAATTTTTAACATTTAGAACTTCTTAAAAGTGAGAGCTACAGTAGGATTTATTTGGTACTGAGGTTACTGTGACACAGACATTTATTTTCAACCATGTTGCACCTTGAAAAATAGTTTTGTTGTGCAGAATGAAGAATTAGACATAACTGCTTGAAGGATCGGATCTCCCATAAAAACTGAACACGGTGTGCAAATGAGAATTACTTTTCTTTACAAATGTCCATCTAAAATTACCAAAATAATGTAATTTGTCTAACATTAAAAACATAATGTGAAATCAAATTTCAGAAAAATAAATAACTGCTAGTTTACTAAATAAATGAGATTACAGTCGCCACAGGAATGAAACATGTCTGTTGGATTCTCATTTAGAAATACAACCAGCTGTTCAGAGCAGCTGTTGCCAAAAGCTTTGCATCAGACACCAGAGGGCGTAGGGTTGATCTCTCCGGCCTCTCAGAATGAGACAGCATTTTGGATTACTGGCCAAGTCCATATTAATTTCTTTGGTATTATATAATATGTGCAGTAATATACAGTATTTTGGCCTTTTTTCCAATGTTAGTAAACCATGTCAGTGTAAGCATGTCTTTATGAAAGCTGATTACTGAGCTGTACGATGACAGACGGTGAGTGTGTGTGCAGATGTTTGAATCTGAAAGGGAAAAAAAACATCTCACTGTAATACTGTTATACAAGCTTCATACATCATATGTTAGCATGAGACGGCAGGAGCAACATATACAACGGGATCAGAGGTTGTTAACAGAGGTTAGTGGTTTCCCAAAAATCATCAGAATATGAATTATTCATAAAAACCAGGTCAAACTGGAGACACCTGTCACTGCGGAGGACATCCTCAGTTTGTTAACTGGAACATGATAAAAACTGAACACTAACTGTAATTTTCAGGCATTTTAACTGATGGTTTAGTTATAAGAAGGTTGATTTACTGTGTGCATCTGATGGACAGGTGTCTCCAAATAAAGAAGACAGCTGGTTTGTTGACTTAAACTGTGCAAATACCAGCTGCAACCAGAGGAGGGAGCAAGTCATTGTGTTCAAGTCACAAGCAAGTCTTAAGTCTTTGCACTCAAGTCCTAAACTTTGAATTTCGAGTCCTAAACGAGTCACAGTGTGCTCTTCACTAAATGTAATGTCAGTTTAACCACAGAGCAGTAGTATATGAAAGACACTCTCTGTCAGGGTTCTACCAGGATATGTCCAAAAACATTATTATTCTCTTTTACTGTACGATGCTGCATCTAACTCAGAAGCTGATTTGTGATCAAAGTGTGAGTCGGAGAGGGAACATGCAACAACACGCTGTACTTTACAACGGTTGAAACGGCATCACATCTTCCCAACCCTGGCTCTCTGTTCGCTTCAGCATCGATTTCACTGATCTCTTGTAAAGCACGTCGGGGTCTGGCCCCAAGCTACAGAGCAGAAATACTGAACTTTGGTATCATCACAGCGTTAGTTCTTCATGGTTCTCTCCTGCAACTTGACTGGATGCTGTCGGACTGGTTCAAACAAAGTGGATCTGAGGAATTAAGTATCGACGTGATGGGAATTAAATAATATGAATTGATTCAGCAAAAGAAGATTAATAGATTTTGTGGGAAACTTTTTTAATAACATACTTTTATAAGAAAGGGAAGCTGTCACGTATTTTCAAGTCGAGTTGCAAATTTTTTTTTAACTTTGTTGTCAAATTTGAGACTCGAGTCTGACTCCAAACCTCTCCCTGCATCTAGAACAACCACCACCAGATACCCAACCACAGTCGTCCCTCTTCCAAACATAATGCTTCTTGATTAAAACCTGGAAAAGATTCCGTGTTTGTGAGGCAGCAGCTCCTTCACCAGATTTCCAATGTTTCTCCAGAGGGTTTCTCTTCAATTTATTACAAAATAAGAGTTTATTGTTTTCTATCCCAAAAAAACACCAAATCTGAGTGAATTATTTAGCTATACAGCATTTCTATGAACTGTGTGTGGTTAAAAAACCTTGTGAGGTTCTTAATTTATCATAAACCCAATGAAAAAGATGAAGTGGAAATCTGCCTTGGGAACCCTGGATTATGATTATAAACAGATTTTATGAGTTCTCTTCTATCCTCCTTAAATCATTCAATGACTTCAATTCAAACAAGGATGAATCATTGAAGACCCTGAAATCAGCCCCAGAACACCCAGACGACCCTTTAGGTTCAACACCAGTACCGTCAGCGTGGTCGTCGGTACCGTCACTGTGGTTCTCCAGACGCTCCTGAGGAATCCCCGGACGTGTTGGCACTTCAGGTCCAGGTCCTACGAGTCACACATCATTGTCAAACATCCAACTGCTGCGTGTGTGTGTGTTTCTACCCAGATGGAAACTCACCTTCCCAGCATTACACTGTCAGCCGCTGTGTCTGTAACTTTAAACTGTTTCATATTGTTGAAGTTAAAAACTGGCTGATATTCGGTCTGAACGTCTCTTTTCAACCTGCTAAAATACGGATACAACAACGAGTATCTGAACGGTCCCTGAAAGACAATATCTCTAAAGAGTTTGTTCTGAAATAAGAATTGTATGTGTTTGTGGACAATAAAGTTCTGTACTGGGTTCTCACTCAATTAAAGAAATCCTTTTTTACACATATACTATATCACTATATTTATCACTGTATACTAAAGTAGTGGTTTTAAACTGTCTCATCATTGTCTTTTCTTTTTATTGGCAACCCCCCCTTCTTCATAAAGCACGCTGCTGTCATGTAGCATAACTGCAAACCCAACTGCGTATGGTTTCAATACGGTGATTTGAATGTGTATTATTCTGTTTTTATGGTTGAAAAAGAACAACAGAAATGTAGTTATACCTCATTTTTGTGGTAAAAGATTATTAAAATGTACATTAACAAATCTCGCTGCATCCACCTGAAACACTGAACAGAAACTGTAATAGTTTAAACAATAGAAGCAGCGGAGCATTATGACATGAATCACTGCACCTGTGCGTATGTAGAGTTGCATAGCCTGTTGCTGCTGCCGCCTTTTGATACGCGTGTATTGCTTCTTCAGGGCGTAGATGTCGGTGCTCATTCTCTCCATCATCATGCTGTTGATTGCTGCCTGATGCTCGGCCCTGGCTCCTCCTCCTCCTCCTCCTCCACCGCCTCCAGCTCCTGCCCCTCCAGCTCCCACCGCTCCGGGGCTCAGCTCTGCGATGTTCCCCTGCTCCGCTCGCTGGTCTGGAGGTAGAAAGAAGACGATAAAAGGTCACATGTCGTGTTATTTATCCCTACTTTTATACATAACTGTGACTTTGTCTTTCAGACTCTACGATTCACAGAAAGATTCAAAGATTAGAGTCGTGGCTTTGGTTCAAAAAGCAGAAACAAATCAGACAAAATCCAATGTGCCTTTTTAGCATTTTAAGCCCCTTTTCGGACTTATTTGCTTTTGCTTTTAATCAAGATCAGCCGAGCACTCGAGACACAAAGTGCCACATAAAAAAGCCTCTTGGTGCAATCTGAGGGGGACGACAATCTGGGGTTTAGAGTTTATTTTCTATTCAGAAGACCAAACTCTCAAACTGAGTCAGTCCTTCCTGTTTTTTGTCTGATGATCTGATACTGTTACACTTTGAGGCGACTTTGAAGTCGAGGGGAAAGTGCATTTTGTTGAGAAATGTTTGACATTTGCTTCTCTGGAAAAGGTGTGTCGAAGAATTTCAGCAGCTTTTCTACCTTTTAATGGAACCGAATCAAAAAATACAATCAACAATAAATAAATAAATTAATTAATTAATGCCTTTTTATATTATTTTTGGTGCATTTAATAGCATTTATTTATCTTTGATTCTGGCGGTTTGGGTCCTCCATACGTTTTGTGTTGCACAGACACAAATCCAACCCAGCAGCACACAATGTGAACTGCTCTCTGTAAGCAGCCGGCAGTTTGTTTACTGTAATCATCCTGTAGTCTCTGAATGATTTACTGATGCTCACTTTCTCCTGAGAATGAGTTTCCCTTTTAAACCAGGTCAAATCAACTGAGATCTGCTTATGAGGTTAAATGAACTCATTTCTCTGAAGTCATTTTTTAAATCTCTCTGGAGTAGAGATGACCACTGCTTCAGATCTTAACCAGCATTTTGAACTAAATCCCTTTGGCTTCATCTGGAGGAGCTGCTGAAGGAGGACGAAGTGGGGATTTGTCTGTGAGGGGAAACAGATCAGAGACCAGTTTGTAAATTGGAGTCAAATCGGGGCAGAACATGAGGATTTGGGGCAGTAGTTTGTCTTGAGCCACTCGGCTGCTGTCTCTGGATGCTCTCCAGCGGGTGGCGTGTGGTTGCACCGACCTTTGAGATGTTTCTGGTATCTCTGCAGCTCGGGCGCCAGCAGGCCGCCCAGGGGACCCAGACAACCGAGCGCCGTCACCACAGAGTCTTCATCGTCCATGTCGGCATCGTCATCGCTCTCCCAGCTGCCCAGACCACCACCACTACGACAAAATAACAACAGCATCACTGTAACAGGCTCCCCCCCCAGCAGCTGGCACAGACGCAGGTGGACTACAGGAAGTCTACAAACCTTCCATTGGATTTGACTGAGGTAGGGAATGGAGTGATGTTGTAGGTGTATTTCTCTCTCAGCTCAGCCAGTTGAGGGAAAGGAAACACTGCTATGGAATAAACCTCCTGGTAGACGGAGAGAAAATATATTTATATCAGTTCATAAACATGACTAGAAAGAGGTTAAAAAAGCGTGAGGGGTTTGGTTCATGTCGTACCTGCATGAGTTCAGTGGGGTCGATGAGGTTGTGCTCCAGCATCTCCTGAGTGAGACAACCCATCGTGCTGTAGAAGTCGTCTGCTGTCTGACAGTATTCGATCCTCCTGGACACAGATAGCGGGAGGAAGCAGAGGAATAACAAGCACATTGTAGAGATTTAGTTGTCCAGGTTTGCCTCATTCAGCGTCACCCACATCTAATCTAATCTAATCTAATCTAATCTAATCTAATCTAATCTATCTATCTATCTATCTATCTATCTATCTATCTATCTATCTATCTATCTATCTATCTATCTATCTATCGGTATATATAAGGGAAAGCTGCAGTCATTTCCAGTAATACATCCTATCATGTGCTGTTTCAGCATTAGTAGCAGCTGAAGTGGTATTAGTAGTTTTACAATTTAACATTATATTCTCTATATACAGAGTCCCATGGTGTCTCTCTCCCTCTGCCTGTGTTGTATCGCAGCCTCTCTGTGGTTTGTTTCCATAGCCGGTCTGCTCCGACTGAAACTGCTGTTTTTATCATCTACGTCTGTGAATTAAGGATTTATTTCCACCAAACCAGAGTTGGTGATTGTTGGAAACACTAACAGAGATGCTTTTAATGAGTTTTATTCTGTTTCTGTCCACTCCACAAGTTGTTATGAAGGTAAAATTAGTGTTTTTGTCTATGGAGTCTGGTGGAGAATGATAGTGTTTTCTGGCGGTAATGGTCCACTCACTCTCCCAGTCTCTCCCAGATGGCGAGGGCGACCCGGAACAGCACCTCTGAACCCTCGAAGAAAACCGAGTCCCAGATCTTCAGCACAGTGGGGGCCGGCAGGCAGGTGGCGAACATGGTGAGGAACCACTGCATAGTGAACACGTTGGTCAATGGAGGCTCGTAGCTGCCTGAGAGGAAACAGACATGTGTTATTGGTACACACACACACACACACACACACACACACACACACACTATTGTTTGTCACAGAGACGTGGACACACAACCAGGTAGCACAGGTTTGTACCTCCGGCCTCTCTGTTGGCAGCTTTCTGAAGGTGGTGGAGATGCTGGGACAGTCTGGGCAGCTTCAGGCGCAGCAGGTCTCTGAACACCGCCATGTCCACTGACAGAAGGAAACATTACACAATAAAAAGCTCTGTTGGTTAGAGAGTGACAATAACCTGATGATAGCAATAAAGTTTCCAATCGATAGGTGCTGTAGATGTCACCATCGGATACCGACAGTCTCCAACATCCACATCTATTAACTTACTCCCAGACTAAAACATTTTTTATAATTATTGATTAATGTGGCAGTAATTTTCCAAGTTGACATTGTCTGACAGTCCAAAACCAAAATCCATTGAATTAACTAACACAGGAGACAAAGAAACCAGCAAATGGTCAAATTTAAGAAGCTAGAACAAGTGAATTTTATGGCGTTCTTGCTTAAAAAAAAAGACTTGATGGACTGTCAGAACTATTGTAGATTAATTTCCCAACTAATTAATCAATTGACCCTTTCTAAGTCCCTTTTTGCTCTGTGCTCCTATCACAGTTGAGCCTCGGTCAGCTTTCTTTGTACACTTTGTGCACCATTGTGTTTACCTGACAATGCTCGAAGGTTGTTGGCAAAATAACTCTCTGGCAGCACTTTGTCGATCAGATAGATCATCACCTGAATACAGAAGAGCGGGAAAAGACAGCGTTTAAACTCCACCAGGAAGTTCTATTATATTCATTAGATTAAAATCATATAAAATGTCTCTGTGTACCTTTAGTGCGTCGCTCTCACTGCCTTCAGTAACCTCCAGTATGAGTGCCGCCAGCACGTTGAACCCTTGGCAGTAGCCCACACTTTTATTCCAGCGGGCGTACGCGAGCAGCACCCTCTTCAGCACCACCCTGTCCTGCTCCCCCTCCTGGCCGCAGTACGAACTGCAGCCGGTCCGGTGCAGGTCCTGGATGTTAGAAGGACGGATTCTTTTATTTAAAGTCAGCACATTAACTGGATAGATTACTCATCGTTTCACGCATGTAGGACAGAGACAGAGAAGACAAACACAGTGATCGGACTTTGTCCTGTCTGTGAGAGCTGCAGTGTTTCTGTTTCCATGATGCTCATAAGCAAACATCCTCTACAGGACGCTGCTGTTCACAGGGACGTACACAGTAGGATCAATGATGGTTACTCAATCTGAAAAGATGTTTTTTGTGTCATAGATGAGAGAAGTCCATCCAGGTCTTGCATGAAGCCCCGCCTCCTTCTGGGTGACAGCAGTGCCTCTGATTTAACTGGCAGTAAATGGAAATTCAGAGGTCTTTAAAGGCCAAATTAATACCATCAAATAAGAATACTGTATTGCTTTTTAGCAATAAGGAGCCAAAATCCTACAGCCAGCCTCTCATATTGTCACTGTTTCTGTGGTTCACTCTTTATTAACCGTTTCTGTCGTCTGTCCAATGAGACGTTACTGTAAACCAATGTTTGTGTTCATTAATCAACCTTTTACTACGAGACCACAGAAGAAGAAAACAGGAGGCTTTATCTCCACTTCCTGTTACTTTCTGCTGTTTACAAGGTTCATTATTAGAAGGTCGGTCAGCTCAGTTTATGGGAATTATTAAGGTTCAAATCCCCTCTGCTCCACACTGTCACACCAAACTCCATTCAAAAAACGGCTGTTTTAAGGAAGTAAAACCTTTATTTCCACCATCAGTGAGACTCTGATTCTCTTCAGTCTACAGACACAATCTGCTCACATTGACTCAGTAACATCATTAACTAACCTGTGAGGAAGAGTTGGACACAGACACACTCACTGACTGTCTGTCATTAACTAACCTGTGAGGAAGAGTTGGACACAGACACACTCACTGACTGTCTGTCATTAACTAACCTGTGAGGAAGAGTTGGACACACACACACTCACTGACTGTCTGTCATTAACTAACCTGTGAGGAAGAGTTGGACACAGACACACTCACTGACTGTCTGTCATTAACTAACCTGTGAGGAAGAGTTGGACACAGACACACTCACTGACTGTCTGTCATGTCTACGATGCGGTTACCTTGACGATTTGGATGCCGAGGGAGTCGTCGTCCGGGTTGCTGCGCTCATTAAAGGCGAAGCGAAGCGTCTTTTCCCAGTCAATAGAGATACTGTGGAGGTACTGGTCTGCTAACGTTAGCCAAACCTGCAGAGAGACGACAGCAGCAGACACACGAGGAAATCAATCAACAGCCGGATACCGGATAGGAGACGGGTTAAATATGAGGAGAGATCCAGGTTCCCAGTCACTTATGAGTCTTATGAGCAAATATTGAAACTTTCGCTTGTTCACAGTGATTCAATTTGTTTTGTAAGTTCAGGAGCGAAATCTCCTCTGACAAGATGAAAGTAATTGCTTCCACTTCCCGCTCTCTCTTCCCATGAGCTGAAGTTATGATGCATTGTAGACAAAGTGCCTCTGCTTAATGCTCCTCTGCACTGCGCCCACACTCTCTCCCGCTGATAATAATGAAGAAAACAGACTTTTCTTGTACGTTTGCACAACTGGGTCAGCGCCTTCTTTTACTGGAAACCCTCGGGGTTCAAAACAGACACAAAGAAAATGGAGAAATTCATTTTGTCCTATTTATAAAAATGTATTTTAGTATGGAAGATATTTGTGGCCCTAACACCCAGGGGTTGGAGCTGATGACAGCAGCCCTAACAATGCCGTCTGTTACACTGAGTGCAGTCACATACCCTCTTCCTCCATTCCTTCGGGATCCCGGTCGGGAGTCTAGCCACTGCCTTCAGAGCGTCGTACCACTGTCGGGAAGAAAACAACACACTGCTTTATTTACCCTTTTAATGAATGAGCAAACTCCCACTGAGGCCACGGCTGTCTGAGTAACCCAGCAGGACAATATTAATGCATTAAAGATATAAGATGCAACAGTTCAGCAGTAAAACGTTGGCAGCAGCCCGGCTTAGTCCGTTAGCATGATATCATAACCTGGAGCCTGTTAGCTTTAGCAATGGTGGTGAAGACAACAACCCCAATGAAACTTTGTCTTTTGTTACAGTTTTGATGCAAGAGACTCGAAATACTATATTATCTACTATAAAACGAGTGCTTTGGTGTTTAGAAAGTCGACGTTATCACTTTCACTCTCACATATAAACACAACAGCAGATCAGCAGCAGAAAGTGGCGCTGGTTCGAGTTCTTACCTGCTGGAATCCGTTCTTTCCCAGCGATGGTTCAATGGTAAACTTCAGTCTTGTGTCGACTCCTGTAAACAAACAAACACACAAACAAACAAACAGAGACACGTGGTCAGACTCTCCCTGAACCAGATCTGAGTGAAGATCGTTCTACTAGTCAACATCACAAAGTTACTGTACAGAAGATGTTAAAAATGATGCACAAAGGATCCATTATATATGAATTATATTTTACTGTGTGTGTGTATAATGTATTTATTTATTTTTACTATATATAATAAGAATCTTTGACATAAAAAATGTAATTTTAGGGAATACATATCTGTCTTTTTTCAGATTGTAATTGTATGTGTGCAAATACCTGGCCAATGAAAGTGATTCTGATAATTCAGTTATTTAAACTCAAAAACATTACATTACTGTGTCACATGAGTACAGCATTGAATAGAAATATCTAAAGGAAGCATTACAAATCAATTTAATTGTTTTATTTACAAATACATGTGTTTTTGTTTCGCAGATTTAAGCCTATAATTTATCATTAAAATCAATTTCTGATTTTTACCAAGTTATTTTGAAAATTAAATTTAAATAAATGTATTAAATTTTACAGTATTTGACACCAAACTGGAGTTTTTAGACGCTATTAGTTTTCATGTTAAATCGGAGGTTTTTTGAACGAGGTTTGGTGCGGAGTCGCTGTCCATTTCCGCGTGGTGCTGAACCCGCGGTGTTATATCTCTTCACACACACACACACACACACACACACACACACACACACACACACACACACACATAATGGAGAATATTTAACACAGCAGGTATGAACCCAACCACCACAGAGGAGCAAACAGAAATAAAAACTCTGATCTGAAGTTAAGGTCCGGACATATTCGGGCTCCGCTCCGACCGCGGCCATTTCCCTCCCTCCCTCCCTCCCGCCGTCCCGGGAGGGTTGCTCGGTCTCTCACACAGCAGCCGACCGCACTGTCACCACGATTTATATCATTTCCACTCTAATAAAAGTCTTCCAGGTAAGATAAGGTGTGTGTTTAACCTGCTTGGTCCTCGTCGGTCGATCCGTGCTGCGCCATTACCGGATGAGCTGCCGCTGTGTTTCCTCTGGAGAGGAGAGGATTAACAACCCTCCTACTTCCCGGTCACAGATTACTGAGACTCACACTGGATGAAGCGACATCAGTGAGGTCCAGGGACGGTTTCATCTCTGCACAGTTTACATTCATTCAAATGTACAGAGACTAACAATGTAAAATATATGGAAGCTCATTTCTGCCAAAGTGAGAGAAAAGATTGTGTAAGTCATCAAAGAGAGAAACGTTCATCTCTAAATAAAGATTTTAAGATACTACAACATTATTTAGAGATATTAAATCTTTATTTAGAGATATTAAGTCATTATTTAGAGATATTAAATCATTATTTTGAGATATTAAGTCATTATTTAGAGATATTAAATCATTATTTAGAGATATTAAATCTTTTTTAGGAATGTTTTTTATATTTTATTTAATATTAATTTTTAGAATTAAGCATTATTTAGAGATTTAAATCATTATTTAGAGATATTAAGTCATTATTTAGAGATATTAAATCATTATTTAGAGATATTAAATCATTATTTAGAGATATTAAATCATTATTTAGAGATATTAAATCTTTATTTAGAGATATATAGTCATTATTTAGAGATATTAAATCTTTATTTAGAGATATTAAATCATTATTTAGAGATATTAAGTCATTATTTGAGATATTAGTTTTTGTTTTAAGTCATTATTTAGAGATATTAAGTCATTATTTAGAGATATTAAATCATTATTTAGAGATATTAAATCTTTATTTAGAGATATTAAATCTTTATTTAGAGATATTAAGTCATTATTTAGAGATATTAAATCTTTATTTAGAGATATTAAATCATTATTTAGAGATATTAAGTCATTATTTAGAGATTTTAAGTCATTATTTAGAAATTTTTAATTTTTATTAAAAAAATAATTAATTATTTTTTGATATTAAATCTTTATTTTGAGATATTAAGTCATTATTTAGAGATATTAAGTCTTTATTTTGAGATATTAAATATTATTTTTATTAAGTCATTTGTATTTTTAGAGATATTAAATCTTTATTTTGAGATATTAAATCATTATTTAGAGATATTAAGTCTTTATTTTGAGATATTAAATCATTATTTTGCGAAGGTTTCAGACTTACAGAATCCTTTTTGGCAGTTTTTTATCTAAACATGAAAATATATTTGATTTGAGTAACTTAAGTATTTGTTAAAGTCATTTTAAAAGTTAAAAGTAACATTAGCCATTCAGATAGTACTTTGCTAGAGATTAATAACTAACGTTAGCCAGTTCGCTGCAACCCAACAACCTGAATAACGTTAATCCGCCACCGATCTGGCTGCTGGATTAGCTGCAGGTGACTTTGTCACTTAATTTAAGACCGCTAGTTGCTGGATTATTAATGCTAATCTGCAACTAAAGTTATCTACCAGTGAAAAAGTGAATATGAACTGTAGAGGAGCAGAAAGAAAGTACAAACACCTACAAATTGTACTTAACTGAGGAAGAAAAGAAGGAAAACATAAATAACTGAGCAGATAAATCTTTAAATAATAAATAAATGTCTTCTCAGCATTCAGCATATAAACTGAATATGTGCAACCTAACCTCCATTCACAGAGTCTGAGACTTTATCAACAGCAGATTTAGTTTCTATTCATCCAAAAACCTTGAAAAAGGTTGTTAGATATCCCGACTTCTGCTGTTTGACTGTAGAGGAACCAAACATTATCAGGTCAGTGGGATTCATTATTAGATGTATGAAACACTGAATGCTCTCATGATTTGATTTTGAGCTCGCTGGAGCTCGGAGAAGTTATTAGCTTTAACATCCTCATCGGAGTCCTTCAGGGGGAAATGAGATCATTGCTTTGTTCTAGCCAACAGGATACAATCATAAAACATCTGTAAAATAGCAAAATAAAGTTATTCACTAGCTGATTTCTGTGGGTGTAATATACTATATCTCCTTATAGACACTATAATTACTAGGGACAAACAGATTATTGGATCCCACATTCAACATTATTCTAATGATCTGTATTGTTATTTATTTAACAGACTGCTGATGAATTCAAATAAAAACATGCTAAGCTAACTAAAGTTAGTCAAAAGTACAATGTTTGCCTCCAAAATGTGGCAGAGTGGAAGTATAAAGCTGCATAAAATGGAAACACTCAAGTACAAATACCTGAAAATGGCACTGAAGTACAGTACTTGAGTAAATGTACTCAGTTACTCTCCAACTTTTACTAATAATTGATCTGTATCCATATCGGTTGATCCCTAATAATTACTTTAAAGTGTTACTGATGTTGGAGCTTTCATACATCTGCCATTAACTTAATAATCTATAAAGTGATTTTAACAATCTAAGTCACTTAAATAGAGTTTGCAGCATTACATGAAACACACTGTGAATAAGAGTATGAGCACAGTGCCCTATAAAACCACACGTTTACTCATATATAGAATAATAACAGATTATGGAGATATAGAGAGAAATATTCATGGGGGGTCCAGATGGTGGCAGAAATATCTGATTTACTCACAATCAATTAATCATATATCAATATCTGCTTGAAAAAGCTCCAAAATGAAGATATCTGAACTGTAAAGTAAATCTAAAGGTGCATTAGCAATCAATAAAGTTCATGAATTTAAGAGTAAAAGGTTATTTTTATATAATTCATCTAAATGAATGTGTTAATGTGACCCCCCCCCCCACCTGGCTCCAAGGTGCAGAGCAGCCGGGGCGCGCTCCTGGAGATCCCGTTGCGTTTCTTCAGGACGTTGCTGATGATGTTACCGACCCCTCCCGATCCCTGCTGCCGCTGCCTCACGCCCGCCCTCGGCCTCCTGCCGGCGGCGGGGAGCCGCTCCTGCCTCATCGGTAAATCAAACGGTTCGATCAGCTCATCGTTCAGTCCCGCTCCAATGATCTTCCTCTTCCTCCTCTTCCTCCTCCACTCAGCTGTTCCTCTAAACGCTCCACCAAGCCGTTAATAATCGATCGGTTACCGGGCTTCAGATCTCTTCCGGTGATGGTTCTGGTTTCCGACTTAAACCCGGAGAAACGTCCGAGCTTCCGTTCATCGTTCGGCGGTCAAACGACCTCCAGAAAGCTCCGATCACAGGTAGAAAACGTGAAGAAACAGCGGATCGGTTCGGGAGGA